TTTTTTTAGCAGGGTCTCATGTAGTTCAGGCTGGCCTAAAACTCAACTGTGTAGCCCAGGCTGGCCTCGAACTCATGGCAATCCTCCTGCCTCAGCCTCCTGAGTGCTGGGATTACAGGTGTGGCCAGATTCCTTCCCCATTTCTTAATTGATTATTTATCTTTTCACTGTTGAATTGTAAGAGTTCTTTCTAGATTCTGAGCAGTAGCTCCTTATGTGTTTACAAATATTTTTTCCTATTCTGTTAGGTGGTATCACTTTCTTGATAATGTGTTTTTGAAGCACAGAATTTTTAAATTTAATGATATCCAATTTTCCTGGGTTGTTTTCAGTGAGTACCTATGGTCATCTTGTAGCCATGAAACCATTGCCTAATTCTATTAGATAGATGCTGCTTTGTCTGTGTGGAGATGGAGAGGAGACGGGGTAGAAAAAGGATCAAGATTTGATACATGTAAGAACCCAGTTCCCCATGATGCATGTATTTAGTATGTATCACAAACATACACTAAAGCTTTCAAACAAGTAGCTGCTTTAACACTTTATAAAATAGTGTGGCAGCAGCAGTAAAGAAATTGCGCATGTTCTCAATTTTGTCCTGATAGGCTTTGGAAGTAATAAAGCAGTTAAAGGAGAAAATGAAGATAGAACGCGCCCACATGAGGCTTCGGTTCATCCTTCCCGTGAACGAAGGGAAAAAGCTGAAAGAAAAGCTCAAGCCAATGATCAAGATTATAGAAAATGAAGACTACAGTCAACAGTTGGAAATGGTAGGATGAAAATACTCTGATTTCTTTGCTTCCTGCTACCCAGATTATTTTCGAGTCATAAATGTGTAACAAACATTTAGAAGTTGTGGACAGTAAGTTGTCCCGAGAAATATCTCACCTAGAAGTAGGTTAACTTGACAATTTCTAAGAACTGCATTGTACTTAAGCACACTTAAATTTTTTGTAAACAATAATTTAACCACAAACCAAATAAAAAAATCTTATGTTGGTCATGTTCATTTTAGATGACAGAATGAATGTTACAGTGATCTTCTGTTATGGAGCAATAGAAATAAAGACTAAAAGTTGGTCAAACTTGTTTACCACAGAACATTTTAAAGAATCCATATTAACACATTAATGAGCTGGTTATAAAGCCAGGTGTCAACGGCACATACCTGTAATGCCAGCTGTTTGAGAGGCTGAGTCAGGAGGATCTCCAGTGCAAGATAGCCTGCAACATGGCAAGACCTACCTTTGAAACAAAAGCAAAAAAAAATAGTGAGCTATAGAGGAGTGTTGGGTATCATGAAACAATGTATGTGACACTATTTGAAGTTTTCTTTTCAAAATTTTAGATGTGCCTTCTAAATAGGTCCTCAAAGTCTTTTTCTGTTTCACATGTGGAAGTGATTTCATTGAATGAGAAAATCTAATGCTAACTTTTAGAATGACGAAGACCACAATCTTCCAGTCCCAACCCTTCTTTTTACAAGTGGGGAACCTGGTATTTGGAGGGAAGGGGTACTGTGTTTTCTTTGTGGTGCTGGGAACTGAACCCAGGGTCTCAGGACCACTAGGCAAACGCTGCACCAAAAAACAGCACCCCAAGCGGGCAAAGGCTTGAGGCAGGAGGTTGGTGACTTATCACAGAGCCGGTGTGGACACTGAGGGTGGAGAGCGGCTGGGGCCCAGTCTCTGCCCTCCACTGGCTGCAGTACAAGAGCAGACAGGGAAGCAGCACATCTGCCCGGAGGACACCAGGCCGAGTTCGCTCTGCTACGTTGGGTGGCTCAAGGCCGACACAAGTCCACAGCTGTGTTAAATGTTTCAGGTGTGCCTCATCGACCCGGGCTGCTTCAGAGAAATTGATGAGCTAATAAAAAAAGAAACAAAAGGCAAAGGTTCTCTGGAAGTCCTCAGTCTGAAAGATGTGGAAGAAGGAGATGAGAAATTCGAATGATCTTCGTCAGCTCTGCACCTCAAAACACTAAACCAGATGGCTTCGCTGCTGACGGCACTTATTTCTGGGATTGGCCAAAATGTGCTCAAACTATTCAACCTTTTCCATCTCAGATTTAACGTCTACATAAGTATACTGTGGGAGTGATTCAGTTTTAATTGTAAGTTGGGGGTTTAGACAAAAGTATAAAAAAGCAAGAATACAAAGTGCAGAACAGCATTTTGCTGCTGTCTTCTGCCCTCTGAGCTTTCCACAGTGAAAGTTGAGACACCTCTGGTGAATAAAAAGTTAAATTTTGTACCCTGTGTAAGTAGAACAATTTGGGGGATATGTCTGTGATAAAGGGAATATCTGGTGGAAAAGAGAACATATGACTCATTTGTATTTAATGAAATCTGCATACAGGGTTAACTACTGTATCATGTGCTAATATAAACATTCAGTGATGACTTTCTGATTATCTGAAAATAGATACACTATGTGCAGGACTTAAATAATTCCCATTGAACATGCTGCCAAAACTTAGATTATTCTTGGTAAAATATAGTCATTTATAGCTAATTCTTAAAGTTTATAATATATATTAATATAGCTAAAATTATACATAACCAATAAAAGTTGTTTTTATTAAACTATGGCTTATTTTAGACACTTTCCTAACTCTCTTGCTTCTTTTTTTTTTTTCTTTTGGTACCGGGGATTGAACTTGGGTCCTTGCGCTTGCGAATCAGGCAGTGAAACCACTGGGCGGAATCCCCAGCCCTGCACGTTTCTTCTTTTTTTTCCCCTAACTCTCTTTTCTCTGCCTCTGTGGTTGGGCTGGGGAATTATTAGTGGTAAATAAACCGATATGCAGTCCTGTTCTGATCAGCTTACTGAATAGTATTTGGGATGTAACTAATTTTAATTAGTTTACTATTTAAGACATCTGAGTGGAAGGTGCAAGTTTTTTATTTATCCTTAAAAGATGCATTCTAGAATATAAATTAGGTTCACTGAAAATAAACATCCAGGTGTATTTTGTGCCCAGCAATGTTCGGTTTTTAACTGAAAACCAGAATTCTTGAACAGGTTCTGATTTTATAAACACACCAAATTCCCTGCCAATACAAGGTCTCAGGAACGTTCTTCACTGTCTTCTGTTAGTGCTCAAAGAAATAGTGTTGTTTGGTAACTCGGGAATGAACAATTTCTGTTAACACTGACACTGGACTGCTGTTGATAGTCCTGAGAAACTCCTCATAGCTTCAGTTTCACTGTGTGCAGGGGTTTGTTCTGGTGCTGGGATTGAACCCAGGGCTTCTCACACGCGTTCCCACTGACTTACACCACCAGCCCCTACTTTGCTTGTAAAGCTTGGCTAAACTTGGAATTGCTGCTGAGTGTGGTGTGCACACTCCCTACTCGGGAGGCCAAGGTGGAAGGATCACTTGAGTCCAGGAGTTCAAGACCAGCCTAGGCAGCAGTGAGACACCCCACCTCAAAAAGAAAAAACTTGAACTCCCAGGAGAACTTTTTTTTTTTCTTAGTACACACTTGCTGAATATAGTGATCACATTCATCATGGGGAATTTGTACCTGTACATAATGTATCTTCTTTTTTATTCCCCCTTTTCCCTTCCCTTCAACCCTTCTACCCTCTCAATTCACAAAAGCTCGTTTCCATTTTTTTCCTTCAATTGTTTTTTATGTTTTGTTTTGGTTTTTTGGTACCAGGGATTGAACTCGGGTCCTTGCGCTTGCAATGCAGGCAGCGGAACCAGCGGAACCACTAAGCTAAAGCCCCAGCCCTCAATTGTTTTTTTTAATCCCTATTCCCTGCCCCTACCCCTGCCCTTGTTCCTCTTCCCATTTAAGTTCTTCCTACTTCCCAATATCTATCCCCATTTTGCTCCCTACACTTCTGATTTCTCACTCAAAAGAGTTTGATATTTAAACTTGTGATCTGATTTATTTCACTTAGGATGTATCTTATCTAAAAATATCTCAAGTTTATGCTTCTTTATGCCAGAGTAATACTCCACTGTATATAAATGCCACATTTTCTTTATCCATTGATGGGCACAAGGGCTGTTTCCAAGATTTACCTATTATAAATTATGCTTCTGTAAGCAAGTATGCACATATCATTGTGGTATGATGCTTTTAACTATTTCAGGAAGATGCCTAGAAGGGCAATAGCTGGGTCAAATGGAACCTCTAGTTTGAATTTTTTGAGGAATCTCCATACTGATCTCCATAGTGGTACCAAGTTTACACTCCCACCAACAATGCAGAAGCGTTCCTTTTCTCCACAGCCACCAGCGTTTGTTATTGATTTCTTTTGGTTTTTTTGTTTCTCAATGGTTTTTATTTTTGTTTTGGTTTCTTGTGTATGTCATTGACTGACCTCTTTTTTTTTTTTTTTGGTACTGGGGATCAAACTCGAGTCCTTGGGCCTGTGCAAGGCAGCAAAACTACTAAGCTAAATCCCTGGTCCAACTGACCTCTTCAAGATAGCTATTCTGGAGTGAGATGAAATCTTGGTGTTGTCTTAATTTGCATTTTTTAATAACCAGTGATGTTGAGCATTTTTTTCATGTATTTATTTCCTGTTTGTACTTTTTCATTTTAGAAGTGTCTATTTGTTTCAGATCCCCACTTTTGAATTGGGTCTTTGAATTTGGGGGGGCTCTGATTTTTTTGAGTCCTTTATATATTCTAGGTAGTAGTCCTTTGTCTAAGGAGTACTTGGCAAAAAAAAAATTTTTTTCCCATTTTGTGTGTTGTCTCTTCATTCTGCTGGTAGCTTCCTTTGCTGTGCAAAAACTTTTTGATTTGATGTGACCTCATTTGTTGATTCTTTATAGTATTTCCTTTGTGATCAGGGTTTTGTTCATAAAGTGTTTGCCTACACCTATGTTTTCAAGAGTTTTACCTATTCTATCTTCCATCAGCTTAAGTATTTGTTTTTATTTATATCTTTGATCTATTTCAGTTTTAGTTTAGTGTGTGGTGAGAGATATGGGTCTAGGTTCAATCTTGGGCATGTGGAAAGCCAATTTTCCTAGCACCATTTATTAAAAACTGTCTTTCTTGCAGTGAAGGTGTCTGGCTCCTTTGTCAAAGATGAAGTGGTTGAGTGTACTTGGAGTTGTTTCTGCATCTTCTGTTGTGTTCCACTGATCCTCAGGTCTGGTTGGGGGTTTTTTTCCTTTTTTGGTACCAGGGATCGAACTCAGGTCCTTGCGCTTGCGAGGCAGGTGGCCGAACCGCTGAGCTAAATCCCCGGCCCATGGTCTGGTTGTGTTTTTTTGCCAGTACCATGCTCTTTTATCATGGTAGCTCTGTAGTGTAACTTCAAATCAGGCATTGCAGTACCCCCAACCACCTTGTCAACAGAACAGTTTTACCCTCTTGTGCATCAGAACAGTATTCGGCTGTAGTAAGATAAACTACCTACAAATACCTAAGGGTAAATGATGTGGGTATGAAAACATGAAGAAAAAAAACAAATTATGAAAAATTAAGCAATGGAAGATGTGAAGAAGGTGTAAGACTGATGTAACCTATTAGAGAGTAAGGGAAATGTACTGGATAACAGTAACAGAAAAAAATGAGAAAAAGGATGAATAATAGGGAGTAGAAGATTAAACTAGCAAAGAAAAAAACACCAAGGGAACAAGTTGAAAGAGATACCATGAAAAGGAGAGAATAAAAGCAGGACCTATTCAAACAGCTAAAGTAATAAAAGAAAGGTACCAGGGCCGGGGATTTAGCTCAGTGGTTCCACTGCCTGCCTTGCAACCACAAGGTCCTGAGTTCAAGCCCTGGTACCAAAAAGAAGGATATCTTTAAATTACTTTTCTCTTGCTGAGACAAAATACCTGATACCCAAAGTTAAAGGAGAAGAGGTTTATTGTAGCTCACAGTTTGTAGAGGTTTCAGTCCATAGTCAGCAGTCTCCAAGGCAGAGTGGCATCACAGAGGATCAAAGCAGCAGAGAAGCAGCAAGCAACAGCAGCAGCCCTCCTTCTGTCCCTTCAGTCCCATCCAGACTACACCTTTAGGGCAGGTACCACTCACACCCAGAGTGGGGCACCCTTCATCCTAGCATCACATCATGAATCAATCCCAGCATCACATCCTTGATCCAGCCACCTCCAAAAAGCCCCACCCATGACCAGCAAAGGCTTTGGGGGAATATCTAGACACAAGCCATAACGGAGTAACAGGAAAATGGATGGTAAAACTCCAAACTCCGCCAAAATATTTTTTTAAAATGTACCAATAGAGCAAAGCAAAATAATGGGTTAAGAAAGGAGGATTTAAAAACAAAAAAATTCCTACATACTTCCAAAGGAATGTTTTTTGTTTTGTTTTTGGGTGGTCCAGTCTGGCCTTAAACTCACAGCAATCCTCCTGCCTCAGCCTCCTAAATGCTGGGATTATAGGCATGCGCCATCATGCCCGGCTACCAGAAGGTTTTCTTCCAGGGACTGCAGTCTTTAACCTTACAAGTCCCATTCCTCTTTTCCCCTTTATAGTCTGTGTGCAGGTTCTCAGTTCCAGGGGACCCCTCTCCATAAACTCCTCTTTGTGGCAACTGTCCAAGCTGTGGCATCAGCCAGGAAAGGTGTGGGGCATTGGATGCTGAGGCTCCTGGCATGGGCTCCTGCTGGCTGAGGACCAGCCCTGGGTGCCCAAGGTACATTCTGGTGTCCGTGGGAGCAGCTCCAGACACCAGGCAGAGGCTTGTGTTGCTTTTGGGTCCCCAAGGAGACCCAGGAGTGCCAGGCCTAACGTGAGGAGATTCCAGCAGGCCCAGTGAGGGCATAGAGTGCTGGGTGCTATCTCACAGCCGGCCACTTCTTTTTCCAGGGTCCAGCCCAGCCAGAATCTCCAACACTGCCGTCACTACACATAGCACATCCCACTTTCTCCAGCTGCATACTTCTGCCTGAGCTCTTGGTTTTCCACTGTGTATTTTAACTTATTTACAGTTCATACCACTGCCATCCCATGAACCACCCCACACAGGCCACTCAATGCAGGCCAAACACAGCACATTTCTGGTGCACCACCAACTTTATAGGTAGAAGATTTTTATGGACCAGGGTCTATCTGGATATGGCAAAAATGTACACAATAGTGGATGACTTAGTTACTTTCTCACCTGCAACTTAAAGGAGGAGAGGTTTATTTGGCTCACAGTTTCAGTCCATGGTTGGCAGGCGTCAAGGCAGACAGAAGGGTGGAAGGGCTTGGGTAGAAAAGAGCTGCTCACATCATGGGCAGAGAGAGAAGGGAGGAACCACAGACAAGGAAACACGCCCCCAGGGACCCACCTCCAACCAGGCCCCACCTCCTGACACCCCATTCAGCTAGGAACTCATCACCAGGTAAATCCACTAACGAGTATAACACCCCATGACCCAATTACCTTCCAAACACATGAGACTTTGGGGGACATTTTTTTTTTGGTACTGGGAATCGAACTCAGGTCCTTGCGCTTGTGCAGCAGGCGGCGAAACCACTGAGCTAAATCCCTGGCCTGGGGGGCATTTTAGATCTAAGCCGTTAACAGTGGGTAAGATTGATCACTCCCTTTTCCATTTCCCATGGCACTTTGTGAACTGCATGTCTGTGGTACAGAAAAAGGAGAGGGGGTAAGTATGAAGCTTCTGCCTCAGCTTGATCCTTTCCTGGGTGGAACCTGGGCCTCCTGGAGTCCCAGAGGGACAACATTGGAACAGGGCCATCCTCATGGACCCAACTCCTTCCCTACTGGAGGGGCAGAGTCAGGGTAGAACCTCCTTAGACCCCAGCATCATCTTGACCTGTGGGCCATTTAAGCAAAATAGAGTAAAAGATGTCCGTCACAGGGGGTGGATGGTGGCCTGTCAGGGTCAGCAAATGACAGCAGCCCTAAGGGCCTGGGATAGGCTGGGAAGTTAAAAGCTGAGGCAATCAGGAAATTGATCTTGGGCAGAATGCTGGAGGCTTGGTTTTCACCAGGCTAATACCACCTCCTAGGGGTTAGATTGGAAATGTAAGGGGTTTCTGGTCATCATGCGAGTGGCCTGCTTCTGGAAAGGACACATTACCATACAAAGATCTGTCACGTATTTGACATGGCTTCAGAACTTATCCAACATTCTCGGAGAGATGAAAACTATTTACAATCATTTGAGCCTGCAACAAACTATTTTTTGCACATTTCAAACATCGTATTTTCCAGGAATGCAGCTAAATTTGCTGTGGCACTTACAGAGTAGAGCTGTCCCACTCACAGTGGCTCTCTCCCAGGCACACTGTTATCATTTGATAGACTTTCTTCTAGGATGATAAAAGTTTTCAAAAGAGGGGTTTGGGACTGATTAGATTAAGCTCAATGTGCCAGAGGAGGCTAAGGGTCTGATGCCCAAGGGTGTGGCAGCTGCCCAGCACTAGTGGCCCCAGGCAGTACTGGAGCAGGACAGCATCCAGGACCGGGGAAGAAGGGAGGGTCGTGTGCCAGGCAGCAGCCACTGCAGGGCCCAGCATGCCGGGCAGGAGCACCCTGGGCATCAGAAGAGGGTTTCTACAAAGCCAAGGCTTGGGAACCAGTCAAGGACTGGCTGCAACGTACAAAATGTGATCAAGAAGTACTCTAGCTAGGCATGGTGGCACACGGCTGTAATCCCAGCACTTGGAAGGCTGAGGCATGAGGATCACTGCAAGTTCGAGGCCAACCTGGGCTACATAGCAACACCCTCTCAAAAAAAAAAAAAAAAAAAAAAGTACTCTAAATGTTTAATTACAATATAAGACATATTCCCATGAATCCTCCCCAAAATCCTCCCCATCCCTTTGAACTCACTTATCATCAAACTACTCTCTGAAGCAGGTCTGGAAGTCCTCTTCTGTGTCCCTTTACATACATGCGTGATCAAAAATGCACTGAACACTGCTGCCAAGTGCAGAAGGGCAGGCTCATAAAAACATGAGTATGCTCTCATTCACCTTATTCACTGGATCCAGCACTCGGTGGCTTCTGGCTCTTCCCAAAGTCAAGCTCTCTATGAAAGGGAAACATTCTGAATCAATTCAAGACACTGAGGCACCCAGACAGTGCAACTAAAGACCCTCATGAAAGAGGACTTCAGAACTGCTTCAGAAAGTGGCAAGAACGGTGGGATAAATGCATGTGAAGTGAGTGGGATGATTCTGAGAGGCATTCACGGCTGTGTGTCTGCTTACTGTAATAAATTCTTTAAAATGTAAACAATCATCATATGTTTTAACCACACTTCATGTATGTACATAAACAGCCTCCATGGGAGTCTCTCATAAACTCGATGAATGACTGAGATACCATCACATAGGCATGAAGATACCATGACTCCTGTGACAACCAGAGCTGGAGGGAGATAGTCTGTTGTTAGCTCTCATTGCCTAAAAGGCGGCCAGAAGGACCCCCAAGTGGTGCTCCCAAATACCTGCACTGACCACCTTCGTTATACCAAACATGTATGAGCGCCAGGCAGTTCCAAATGGCTGTATTAACCTGTTGAATCCTCGTTCATTCAACTGGTTACTCAGCCTTAGTTTTCCAGAGGCACAGAAAGGTGAAGCCCCTTTAGCTGACCAATGTTAATGGGCCTGGAGGAGTGAATGCCTGGAATGCAATCACTGAATGCACTCACTAATGCTCCAACCTACCAACGCTGTGCTTCGGGCTGAGGAACTTCTGTCCTTCCTGGACCTGTGACAGACCAGCTCCCTGCCGGGCCTCTCACACACACATGCCCCTAGGCCACTGTAGATGTGGTGTGCAGGATCTTGTCCTGGGGTGGGGGACAAGCCCTGATAGGACTCCCCCTCCTTCCATCCACCAATGAGCCAGGGCCCTAAGCACCAGGACCACACACAATGTCTCCATCTGAAGCCCCTGCATCTCTCCAGGATGCCCTGTGACCTCCCCAACTGAGTAATGGTCATCTTCGCTCAGCACATCTGCCATCGGACTACTTACGTGTGTTCATGGGCAGCCGTCCTCCTTGGAAGGTAAGAACCAAGACGACAAGCATTTCGTCTGTGAACCTCCATATCCCCAGCCCCAGCAACCCTGACCAGCACAGCAGAGAAACCCAGCAAATATTTACTACTGAATGACCAAAGCCATTCAATGAAAAGAGGCTGGATATCAAAACCAAAACCCACCCTGCCCTTTCCCCTGCATGCGGCACAACTGCCATCTATTGTTGCAATTTTCAAACCACTCTCATCTGTCCAAGATCAACCACCAGCATGCTGGAAGAAGTTTGGGGTATTCAGAGGTGGAAAGGTGGGCTCCCCAAATGGGCCATCTTTGAAGCAGCAGCTAAGCTCATAATGCACCTGACGCACCACAATGCATTCATTCCGCGGTTCTGCAAGTCCTAGCCTGTCTGCAGGAAAGCCCAGCTGGAAAAGGAAATGGTTTTAAAGTGAAGCCTCTAACTGGAGAACTTCATCATGTCAGATTTTACACAGGCTGTGTAATGCAGGAGGGAAATGCAAGCTCACTCTCCGCAGCTTAGTCTGCATGGTAACAGAGACAGACTTGCACACGCAAAGACACAAGAGTTCAGTAGGGGGTGTGGCCAGCACAAAGGATTCCAAGGCAAGAGAGGAAGAGGAGCCCCAGCAGGAACAAAGGGCCCATTAAGGTAGCATCTTGCTGTACCTGGGCCTTGGACTGAGCTCATGCCTCTGCCATCTACTCGGGCTGAGGGAAGGGACAGGTGCATCTACCCACTAGAAAAGGGAGGAATTCACATTCGTAAACACAGTCTCCCTTTAGCAGCGGAAGCTGTGGCGGCTGCCCTGTGTCGTGACAAAGGATGGCCGTGCACACAGGCACGACGCAGCAGGGTAGGCGCCTGCAGCTGGCACCTGGAGACCCTCGCACACCACAGGTGCTTTAAAATGCTGTGCCTATTCAGTGCTCCCTGTCCTGCTGTGTGCTTTCTACTTCTGCCTTCTGGCAGGGTGTAGGCCTGGTCCCAAGCATTTGTTGGTCTTACCAACCACAAGAGGTTCTGTGCTTTCGGGGAGAAGACCTATGTCCTGGTGAGGACACACTGCCAAGCCTCACCCTAAGGACAGGCGACACTTCAAAAGGAAGCTACAAAGCCCCTCAATTCTTACTGCATACGCTCTCCCTTACAGAACGCCCATCAAGCCAGGCATGGTGCCACATGCCTATAATCCCAGCACTCCAAGAGGTTGAGGCAGGATTCCAAGTGTAGCCCAACCTGGCCAACTCAGTCACTCAGTGAGACCCTGTCTCAAAATACAAAAAGGCTGGGCATGCAGCACAGGGTGAAGGGTCTGGGTTCAATCCCCACTACTGCAAAACAAACAAAACCAACAGAAACGCAAAAACCCACACATCCACCAGACTAGCGGAACAGAAGACACAGCAAATAAATCTTGATGTTTTATTCTGTAAAGCACATATGCACATATTCCAAACACAGAAATTAATCAGGGAGTGAATGCCATAACAGATCAGCTACTGACCATCATGCAGCAAGTAAGTGGAATGGATCCGCTGGCCCTCGTAACCCCATGGTGCCTGCAGGAGGGTTGAAAAACCAGGATGCTGAATCCCTACACACTGCCGAAGAAAATGCAACCAAAATGGCAGGTTCCTAACGATGCAAGAAAGTTACAAATAGAATCAAAACTGATTCAAGTCATACAGTGAAAGGACAAAAGGAAAAAGGAAAGAGATCAATATGATCTGAAACAACCATTTTAATAGTTAAGTTGCTGACCTTTCATTGGCCCTCCAGTCCAAGGTGCCTTCAGACGAGCCTATGCACGGCAGGGCCACCCCTGAACGGTAAACCGGCCTCTCTGGAGCCACAGCTATGGACGGGCCCTGCACGCACGGCCCAGCAGTAATGGGTGCCCTGCACTTCCTGGGGTGCTGTGGAGGCCTCTTCTAGAGCCATGGCCTCCCCGTTCCCCACCTTCCTTCACACACCTGCTTGGCTCTGTGTTCCCTTAAGATCTTTGAGAATTACCTGCTGCAGTGAATGTTGGGTTTTAACCTGTGCGTCCTGGCCTCAGGACAACTCATACTGTCCCGGCAGTTTTGGCACATTCTCATGCCTAACAGTGTTTCTCCCCTGGCTACAGATTCCAGCCATTCCCTGTAATTAAAACAAGGGCAATTAATATCTGCAATGAGCTGGACTGAATAAACCAGTGAAACTGATTTTTTTTTAACTTGTCTTTTACCTGTTATATTACTCTGCTAATTATGACTATCTCTATAACTCCACTTCACTGGGACTTTACTAATTCAGTAGCAGCTTAATCTAAAGTTTGATGGTTCTAAGAATACTGACATTTCTAAATGCCAAGCCAAATGGCTCTTTCTGAATCTTGTCTCATAAGGGTTTCAAAGTCTCTAAAGAGAAAACTAAAATAACAAGTTAACCATACATCATGTAAGCAAATCATATCATACCAAAAAGAACAAGAAACAAAAAACTGGTTAGACAAGTATGATCACTGCACTTGAAATATATTAAGAAGAAAAAATGGAATACTAACATATCAAGTAACTACGGTGATTATTTTAACAATCCTCAATAAAAGCCCACAATTGTTTTCCATTCAAGAATGCCTGGGGTAAAATGTTCCAGACCGACAAATTTCAGACTGTGGGAACTCTTAATTTAGAGCAGACCAACTACAGGGCCACAGTGCTGACTGACAGTCAAGCCTAAGGTCTTATCTGCCCTCCTGCTATAACGCTGTGTGAGAGAACACAGACAACATTAACAACAATGACTTATTAAGGCAAAGAGCTGTCAAGAGAAACAAGTAACAAGAAAGGACTGGAATAGATAAGGTATAAATTTTTTAAAACGAAAGAAGATTAGAGGGCAAAAGGACTGAGAAGCTAGATGACCAAAATGTTCTAAGAAAAATTCTTTCAATTGTCCTTGATAAACAGCAAATCCAAATTCCATTCCTTCAGATTTTACAGGCCTTGTCTTCATTGTGTCACAGATCTAGTAGATGCCATCTTTCTTTTGAAGATATTAGTTGCATAAAAATAAAAGGAAAAGTTTTTTTAAAAAAGAAAAGGGGCCAGGGATTTAGCTCAGTGGTTCCAGCACTTCCCTCGAAAGCGCAAGGTCCTGAGTTCGATCCCCAGTACCAAAGAAAAGAAATTTTATCTCCTTTTCAAAAAAAAGAAAGAAACCCTTTCATGAGTTTTAAACCAAGTCCTCATTCGTTCTTTCCACACTGCCATGTGCATGCTGGAAAGTAGGACCACTAACTGCCTCTTCGACCTAGGGCCGTTTACCTAATGTCTAGGCCCTTGGGAGTGAGGGAGCTGCTTTAACTTTTACAACAGAGGGGAGAGAGAGGGGAAAGAAAAGAACATTCTATGCCAACTCAAACAAGACTGAGCTCCTCCCCGTCAGCATGGAAAATGAAACTTAGATCTTTACCATCTAGGTGAATTTTAAATATTTAACTTTTTACTCAGGAGAAAAGCACAAGTCTGTCCTAACTAGAGTAGTATTAAAATCTATTTTAATTTTTCTTAAAAAAAAAAAAAAAAAAAGACTTAGGTATGTTTCCTGGCAAGCAAAATGAAGAAAAGGGTATTATTGTTGTTACTATGATTATTAAGCCACAGACACATAAAATCCACAAAATGGATTGGTGGCTTTGGAAATGCAGTATCATATCAAAGGTGCAGACTGTTTCAAACATTTTGTACATATTGGGCTGAAACAAGAACCAAAGCAAACCTCAACCCTACCAGTGAGGAATCACGCCGTGCCCCTGATGAAAACATGACCTGCTCTGTGACACGAGACCCTCGTGTCCCCTCTTAGTGTTATTCGGTGAGGTCAAAGGGTTCTGGCCGCACCCAGTGCAAAGCACGTGCATCACTGGACCAACTTCTGAGTAGGTTTTTATAAATATGTACAAATCAGTTACAGGCACTTGAAATGTCTTTGGCTGGAATAACCCAACACTGCAAGATCATGTGTTTGGAGTGGCCAGGCCCTGGCTTAGGTCAGCAGGCAATGACAATGGTTCTTTCAGTCTCTCTCCATAGACGGGGAGGTGTGGGATTGATTAGGCGTCAGCCAAAGCCACCTAGAGGAAAGCAAGACAGGCAATCTGGTCACACAGGAAGCCTGGGGATTTCAGCCCCAGGGCCACCCTACCCAAGGCCAGGCCAGACTAAGGGCATGGATCTACCAGGCAGGGGAGTCACCACATCCCTAAGAAAACAATGCAGTCCAGGAAGGAATGAACAGAAATCCAGGTTCTTCTGCAAGAAGCAGGCAATCTGTGCGACTCCGATGCTGGGACAGAATCGACTTTCTAAACTCTGATGGGCACTGTTACATGATTCTCATGCCAAAAGACGTGGAAGCAAGGCACCCCACCCAGGGTAATTCAAACAACTGCCTTAGATAAGTATGTAGACAAGTATGTGGTTGAAAAATCCACCACAATGCAGGCTGACCATTGTTTCCAGTGACAAGTCAGGAACTAATTTCTCTGGGGAAAAGGTGAGTAACAACTAACTGAGATTTCTGAACACAGAGAACTCTAGCAAACACAGAACCAAGAACATCCACTGCTCACCTTCTCAGGGCAAAATTCAGGATTGCTCTGACGCAGTTTGCTGGGTCTGCCTTTGATCACAGCATAGCAAAACATTGTTATCACCATCACGAAGAGGAAGTAACTGGTGTGCATGAGGTGCAAATTTATCAATGAACGGTCATCCTAAAGTGAAAAAGAGAAAAACAGAAACATCTGCAACTGAGTTACTGAATGATTTTAATGCTGGGCTTCTGAAGACAGGATTCCCAACCTTCAGAGTCGATCAACTTTCATGCCCAAGCTGGAACAGGAAGTCTCTCCTTTTGTCTCCAAACTGCAGAGCCCGGCTCTCATTAAGTGAAAACATGGTATTTCCCATGATCTGTTAGGGACCCCCACATTGCCAAGCCCACCACTGAAGCATCCTCTCCTACAGTCTTCCACAGACTCACCTTTAACCTCTGCTCTGCCCTGGACACGTCTGCTTTCTCTCCGGGTTGAAGGCTGCCACCTGCACTTGCACCCCTAACTCCCTGCCCATCACCTGCCCCAGAGCAGTCCGTCCTTCTGCATTTCCCCACTTCTCTAAGTCCCTGGCTGAAAATGCGGAAGTCATGCTAGATTCTTTCCTCTTTGACCTCCCACTTGCAGGCCTGCTAGGGGGTCGAGATCCCAGACTTGCTTCCATCCCCACAACATGGGCCCTGGGCTCCCTCTTGTTTACACACGATGGGGCAGACAGTCTCTGAACACACGAGAGCACATGCCCTGCAGCCCCAACAAAGGCAGTGCTCGGTGAGGCAGGAACTGGCCGCCCACCATCTCCAACCTGGCTCCATCTCCACTGCCTCTCCTGGGTCCCGGCCCATCTGCTTCCACAGCCTCGTAAAAAGGAGCCACAGAAAGGGAGCAGGGCTAGACTGAAAGAGGAGAAACCCACCCACCACACAGTGACAGGAAGAAGGAAGGGCACTGAGACTCATCAGTGCCACCTGTGGAGAATGGGCTCCCACAGAAGCAGGAAACCGAGTTAGGGTACCAATGCCAGAGAGGGAACAGTGTCCTCCTCCCCTAAGTCACATCCCAGCTGAGCTTCACTCTAAGTCATTCACTTCCTTCTGCTACTTGTTTCTACCTTTCCAAACTCCAAGCAGCACCAGTCACACTAACCAATATTCTGCTATCCAAGGCTGCATACGTCAGTAAGGCTGGACAAGCACTTCCTGTAATCTGTATGTGTTAGACAGAGCAGCTGCTCAAGAAATAACTGCTGCTTAAAGAAAACAGAAAATAAAGAACCAGACTTTTCTTACTGCTTTTAAAAGGGTGGCGTTTCACCACTGCGCCTGGACTCCCAACCCACCCAAATCTACAATGACAGGGACAAGGCTAAGCCGAAGAGGCAAACAGGGCTTGCATGAACACACAGACATGCACACACACAACTGTTCTCACTTACGTCTGGAACAATAACTGTAAGCTTGGGATTCAACGCATGATAGACTTTCCCAATGGCCCCCTTGTAACACCAGAAAGGGTTGTAGTCTTGCGCATACTTTGTGTTGGCATCTCGGGCAGTTGTAAAGATCTTGTACCAGATCGTGGCATTGCTGTACGTGTCAGGGACACAGTGTGGAGGCTGTCTGCAAGGAAAGGAGGGAAGACAAGTGCTCAGCGACCTGGCACGTCCATCTGGTCCCCCCACAGCATGGACACCGAACCTAGCAACACGTGCCAAGGAGAATACCAGGGGCCAGGGATTTAGCTCAGTGGCATCGAGTCTGCCTTACAAGCACAAGGTCCTGAGTTTGATCCCCAGTACCAACAAAAGAAAGAGAATACCATGTTTCTGACAACATTGTGTTTCTCTGGAAAAAATACCATTATACTTTTAGTTCGAGGTTTATTTTTTTTGTTCTTTTTGTTTTTTTGGTACCGGGGATCAAACTCAGGACCTTGCACTTGTGAGGCAGGTGCTGGAAACACTGAGCTAAATCCCCAGCCCTTGTTTTTGTTTTTTAAATGAAACACATAAAAGAAAAAAAGATACAGGCGTCTGACATTTAGGAGTCTGGATGTTGAATTTTTGCCTTCAGAACTCAACCCACAGTCCTCTCACATATAATGTGGCTAAAGAAGGCCCTGTTTCTTTTAGGCCATTTTTCTCAAATTATCTAAATTCTTAGTTACAAATAGAAGCTATACATATGAACTTTTGCATCAGGTATTATAATTCCAAATAAAATTTAACTTATCAGCTCTCATCCTGCAAACCTCTGAATGTCTAAAGCAAACAGATACAAGGATCATTCTTTTAAAGATTCCCCACACAACTTTTCTAAGTAGATTGTATCTTGCATATACTATTTCCTTTATGGAGAAAGGAGAGGCAAACTGATCAGAAAAAAAAAAACTGAAGTGAGTTCAGAAACAGTTTAATTTTTTTTTTTTTTTTTTTTTAATACCAGGGACTGAACTTGGGTCCTTGAGTCTGCGCAGCAGGCAGTGAAATCACTGAGCTAAATCCCCGGCCCCATGGGTTCAGAAACAGTATTGGAAAACAAAGTTCAATTTATACTCAACTTAAAAACTAATTCTGGAAAATGAAGACGAACAAAAACTTTGTTAGATAGTCTTATTATGAGTCAGGGATCAAAGCTCTTACTTCCTTTTTCTGTCTCACATTTCTTCTACTCTTGGAGGAAAGTCAGCCTACATCCGACAGCAACAGGGTAATTTTGCCACCGGGTGGAATACACAGAAGCACTACCTTTAGAATACAAACTAAACTTTAAATGACCCTTTAAGCGGGTCCGATCACAGACCATTCTAGAATGTAGCACAATGTAGGCCATGCTAAGAATTTCCTGCCCAGTCACTCTCCTGGCAAATGGGTGCAAGAAACACTTACACAGTGACAGGGAAGACATCGGGGTTGGCTGTGAGCGTCATGCAGGCTGTGAACACCACCTGCTCACAATGGCCATGAACAGCACAGTCATCCGAGCTCCAAGCAATAGGCAGGGTAAACGTAATGTTTATCTCCTCTTGGGCTTCCCTGCCTGTGAAAGAGAAATCAGGTTTTTAGTAAATAAAGGCCAGAGTTCCTATATCATTCTCTGGAATTCAAGTGAATCTTGGGCCCGGGATTTAGCTCAGTGGTTTTGCCGTCTGCTGCGCAAGCGCAATTCGATCCCTGGTACCAAAAAAAACAGAACCGTGAGATTCAAGTGCATCTTGAACTCCAACCCACTCAGGAATCATGAGGACTATGGAATCAGGAATATGAAGCTGGAAACCTGCCTTTGTGGGATTTCAGGAACATCCTGATCCCAGCTATGAGGCCCACTCAACACTGAGTGGAATAACACAGTGGCCAACAGAGAGGGACCAGCCACCTTTCAGCCAGGGCCTGGAGACACTAGCAAGAGCAGGCGGCACCTGAGTGGAGAAGCTTGGGCTGGGGGAACAGTGTCACGGTTTTAGCACCCGTACAGGCCGCTTATCATTTCCAGTCTGCTTTGAAATGTATCACTTCACTTAGAATTTACCATTACCCAATGGATGCAACCAAAGATGATGGTTCCTCTTTTACATATGTGCAACCTGAGGACCTGAATGTCTAACAGACTTGGGAAAGGTCAGGGGACCAGTGTATGATGAAGCCTCAATTGCAACCAAGGGTTCCAAGGCCAAAGCACTTGCTCCGAGCAAAACTCAGAGGTCACGGCACTGTGACACCATGACATGGCTTTACCTCCAGGAGGCACTTGGAGCCAGAGTGCCAGGCACTCACAAGTTCTTTTAACAGCTTCACAAAGGGAACTCTTCCAAGGCCCAGAACTCCCACATGAAGCCTTTCCTGATGCTTCCAGCTTCCACGGCTTCCCTGTCACCTGAATCACTTAGTCTGCCACGGGTTAGCACTGGCCAAGGGACAATGATCCACATTTTATAAGTGTTTATTTTTCCTATTAAATAAGCACTTAAATAGCATTGCCTTCATGCCAGGAACTCAGTGCTAACTCATGTTGTTTTGGTTTTTTTCTAGAATACCAAAATTCCGAGGGGGAGAGCAGATCTTCAGCTTTTTCTACTTCTACATAGTGGTGAGCTACAGCTGACCATTAAAACAACACGCAGGCATGGTACAGCACCTGCCCCCATGCTTGAGACCCTGGACTTCATCTCCAAATCACAGCGGGGCGAAGGGGACAGAAGTTCAGACAACACGACAACTATGGCAATATGTAATCGTCTGGTTAAGTACTGAAAATTCCAACAGGATAAACCTGAGTAAAAATGATAGGTGTAAACAAAATGTTAGTGTTAGAGTATAGTCTGAAATCCAAGTAGAATGGACTCCCCAAAAATTGAACCTGTGTTGGCTAGAAATCTTAATAATAAGATAAAGAGTCAATAAAACATTTTGCATGTGACAGGCACCGTACACAGGGAAATTCACAGGATCAGGAGATCCCTCTTCACTGCAATGCAGCAATGATTATTTTCAGTGTTCTGATAACTCACAACACTTGAGCTCCCAGCAGCAACAGCAGAAGGTGGCTATGAACTACTCCAGGAGGACAGCACATAGCACTGCCAGTTTCACACACTTATGATCCAGTACCACCCCTTTACATTTGCTTACATCCCTCTCCGCTGTGAATGGTGCTTTGCACCGTCCACTTACGTGTGTTAAGCTCTGATAAATCCTCACTTTTTGAAATATACTTGTGTATACTGTAAGGCAGTAAATGATTTAAAAATAAGCTATCATATGCACGTATTTTATGCATTCACAACATATTTTTTTCTTTTCTTTTCTTTTTTTTTTGGTACTGGGGATCAAACTTGGGACCTTCTGCTTGCAAGGCAGACAGTGGAACCACTGAGCTAAATTCCCAGCCCCTTTTTTCTTAATTTTTAAAATATTTCTAGGCTACAAGTTTATCTGTAAGTTTTTTCAAATTATCACAAAATCCCCCCACTCCACCCCAAAATCCAAGTATAAGTGGATCTGTGTAATTCAAACCTGTGTTCTTCAACTGTTAAAGCCAGTAACAGGCCTAGCAGCTTTCCAGTTTCTTTCTTTTTTTGGTGGGGCTGGGGATGGAAGCTGGAGAATCACACACACCAGGCAAACGCTCCATCCCTGAGCTCCGCCCCAGCCCCAAGTTTCCCAATCCAAGTTTGCAATGAGAGACTACTGCACAACGAGCACTTTACTAAGTGCAGAGATCCAAGTGGTTCCTTCTTGATTTCACACCGTTGGAACTCAACGTAAGACACACACATGCAGAAGCAAACAGCTCGATGGTTGATACTCATCTTAGTCGGTGCCTCAGAATTCTGAAAGGAAAGGGGCCAACACTTGCTCACCTGAAAGTCCAATCTGATGCCCCAAAATGGTCGAGTACAGATGGCTGACATTTCGAGAGAAGCCTCCGAAGGGCTTAAGGGGGTCCAGGGTGAGGGTGATTGCAACTGAGCTGTTCACCGGGCCCGAGTCCTCCAGAGCCTGGGGGGACTGTGTGGACGCTCTGGCATGCCCACTGGTCACTGTGCTCTCTGAAGCTGTGCTGTCGTTTGAGAGATGCTTTAATGTTTCATTTTCTGATACGCACAAGTCCAAGTCATTAAATCGAAGCAGAAAAGTATTCCAATCCTTCAGGAAAGTGAAATAAAGAGAAACAAATGTGAGCAGTCCCAAAGCCTCCCCTGCAGGAAAGCAATCAGGACCCGCAGTGTGGCCTCACGACAGGAAACTGATTCAGGCCGCCCTCTCAGGTCATGCCACAGTGCAGCCCCTCCCTCTCGAACTGGTCAGAGTATGTGACTTTCCTAATCACTTCCATATTCATGATCTAAATACAGTACCAATATGCTTTTTGTTTTGTTTTTTTGGTAGTGGGGATTGAACTCGGGACCTTGCGCTTGCAAGGCAGGTGGTGGCAGGATCTAAATATAAACCCTAAGCTGGCATGAGATATTAAACACACTGTGAGATCCAGAATGGCCTAGAATTAGACAAGGAAAGAGATAAGGGGAGGCGGGAGGGGTCGGAGAGAGGGCAATGGGCAGATGAACAGGACCCAAATGCATTATATGAATGTGTGGAAATACCACAGTGAAACCCAATGTTTTGTAAAATAAATAGGCACTAATAAAAAAAAGTATATTACACTTAGGAAGACTCACCCAGCCTCAGAATGAAACTGAAAAGAAAGCTTCGGCAAAAGTTGTAAAACACAACACATTAAGTCAAGTTCATTTAGCCGTTACAATTTTTTTTTGATACTGGGGATAGAACTCAGAACCTTGCACTTGCAAGGCAGACACCACTGAGCTAAATCCCCGGCCTAGTTACAATTATTTTTTAAGAGAAGGCTACCTTAAAGTAACTCCTCAAAAGGTCAATTCCATACCCTTGCTTCCTGTTCCTACAACACAAAACAGCAGTAAATTCCAATGCTCATTCAGTACTAGTTCCTCCTTGTCATGGACTCTGGACATAACTTTAGAGCAGGAGCACTTTCAAAAAGAAGGGCACAGCATGTTTTTAACTTCATTGTTGTTGTTTTTCAGTACTGGGGAGCAATCCAAGGACGCAAGCCTTACATGGGGTGGGCAAGTCTCTACCACTGGGCCACACTCCCAGCCCCTTCTCTTAATATCACAACCCGCAGTGACATCACAAGCCAGTTTTTCAAACACATACAGAAAATATATCAAGGGTAAACAGACACCAATAAAGTAAAGGACTTGCCAGGGTCCATTTTCAATTTACCAGAAAACTAGAGGTGAAGTCATACTGTACAAGTGACAACACACCTGGAGGCACATGCCTGTGACACCAGCACTTTGGGAGGCCGAGGCAGGGAGAATCATGAGTTGGATTTCCTCCTTAGCAACTGAGCAAGACCATGTCTCCAAATAAAAAACAGAAATAAAAGGGCCAGGAATGTAGCTCAATGAGTGGCCCCAGCACTGCAGTCCATCAAGCAGTCACTGACAGCAAACCTAACCTAGGCTCCTGTGTCTCCCAAGTAGCCAAATAGAAGACAAAACAAGTTACATTTTTAATTACTCTAACAGTAGTGTTCATTTTAAAATGCCAATTAAGCAATCCGCACACAGTCAAGTGATCTTTGCAGCAGAAGTACAACTGCATGAGACACAGTAAAACTGCAATTGGGCGTACCAATCCCATTTTCCCTCACACCTACAAACTCAGCAGGCCATTCTAGTTCATCCCATCTAACCATTCATGCTGCAGACATGAAGGAACTGAGGGCCAAATCAAATCAGGCTTCTCCAGTTCCACAGCTCAAGACAGAATTAGCAACAATTTTTTTTTTTTTTTTTGGTACCAGGAATCAAACTCAGGGCCTCACACTTGCCAGGCAGGTGCTGTGCCATTGAGCTACATCCCGGCCCTCAGCAACAATTATAATTCACTGCCTGAAACTTTTCCCATACATGAATGCCTTTTCTACAAATCAGGACATCATTAGGTTAACCACTTGAAAGTAAAACCACAAAATTAAAAATAACCAAAGTTCTTCAGCTTTCCTACAAAGCTTGAGTCCATGTCAAAAGCCAGCCAAAGGCAACACCAGGTATCATTTTGATTACTAAGGGCTAATTATCCAGGCTACATCTTTTAGCCAGTGGTCTTGATCAAACACTCAAGACAGACTCAAGGTCTACGAGAAAGAAATGCCAGGATGCTGCCAAGCTCTGGCTGTGACCAGGATGTTCATTTTCTCCCCTAATATGGGTACAGCTAAGGATTCAGCTCAGGTCAAGAAAGAGGGAGAATTAAGCCAGCTAGCTAGCTTCCTGGTAAGAAACTCTCTGGAAGGGTTTCATCACAGAAATAACTTAAACTTGTTACTTTAACTGTGCTACAGTTCACACATGAAGACTGTCCCTCCTCCCAAGATCAGCTGTGACCTAGAATGTCACAGAGCACAGGAGAAAGCCATGATACCGATGACAGAGAACTCTCCTCTCCATACTAGGCATACACACAGATACCCCTCAATCCCCATCCCTACTCCCACCAACAAACAACCCAAGAAAAAAAAGTGTAAGAGAAGATACTCAAGGAATATAGTAAGATAGGAACTAACTTGTCCTATGGGAAACTTTACCAGTCAAGTCACCGTATCATTAATTCACCATAATTTCTAATATATAAATTTGTAAGTGAGTATATTATCATCCACTTCTCTTAAACAAGAATTATTAAATTTTTTATTGCTTTCTAGTGTGTAAAATATACATTTAATATTTGCATGTGTTAACTATAACTTACCTAGCTTAAAAATTAAAATGCCCCAATAACATTTAAACTGCCCAAAATGTAAAAACCAGAAGACAGATCTATAATATTTTCCTAGCTTAAAAAAGAGAAATACATTTGGAAATAAAACCGTTCTTTAAAAAAATGCCACTGGGGGCTGGGGATTTAGCTCAGTGGTTCCGCCGCCTGCTACACAAGCACAAGGACCCGAGTTCGATCCCTAGTACGAAAAAATAAAAATAAATAAATAAATACATACATACATAAAAATTTTAAAATGCCATCAGTACAGCTAATAAAACTAAATGATGAATTTGAGATAGCAAATGTTCCAAGTTTTTTCCAGGTGGCCGGTGCACACTTGTGGCCTAGAACTCAGGAGGCTGAGGAAGGAGGATCACAAGCTCAAGGCCACCAAAAAAATGTGTGGTTTTCAAAATCAGCAACAAGTAACTTAGTATGAACATCAAAAAAGTGAGTTCTCTAGCTTTTTGCCATGGATAAGTTTATAAATATACTCTCTAAAATGCATCAGCATTTTCACTGCTGAAAATGGTAACATTATTTAAATCAAATAATAACTATTTCCTAACAAAGTAGGTCACAGGGAGATGAAAACATAAAATCCTGAAAACCAGTCTTTTTTACCAGGAGCAAGAAGTCACAGCAGAAGAAAAAAAAAAAAAACAAAACAAAATGAAGGTATATGGAAAACCAAAAAGTGTTTCCCCCTCTCCAAAGTCTAGTCAGCCCGAGCAGAAAAGCTGGAACATACCTCTGCCATTTCAGGTGACTTAATCTCCTTGATTTTGAAGAAATAGCCCAGGGTCAGGAAGGCGATGGCCATGGCGCTGACACTGATCATAAAGACCACCAGGGGTGGCCGGCTGCTGATGTACAGCTTCAGGTTCTCCAGGGGGTTGATGCTGAACATTATTCTGATCAGCTCCACCTGCAGGAAATGGAGCAAAAGATTCAGGATGACCTGCCAAAAGGGAAGCTAGGATTCTTGCTTTGTTTCCCTGGGTGGTGCTGGGGCTTACGGGGTTACTAACTGTTGAATTGAAGTGTCTGATCAATAAATTCATTTCGGGGCCAGGGATTTAGCGCAGTGGTTCCACTGCCTGCCTTGCAAGCACAAGAACCCAAGTTCGATCCCCAGTACCAAAAAAATAAATAAAATAAAAAATAAAATAAATTCATTTCAAGGGGGTGAAGGTGTAGCACAGTAGTTAGTTCAGCACATGCTTAGTAGGTGCAAGGGCCTGGGTTCAATCACCAGCACGATAGACAGACAGACACACACACACACACAGATACATATAAATAGGTTCAAAAGGCTAGAAGGAAAAGAAACACTAAATGTTAACTGTCATTATCTCAAAATGGTTGGTTGGATCTTGGGCCGGGGATTTAGCTCAGTAGTTCCAGTGCCTGACTCACACGCGCAAGGTCACAAGTTCAACCCCCAGTACCAAAAGAAAAAAAAACGAACAAACAAACAAAAAAATTGGTTGGATCTTAAAAGATACATTCTTTCAATTTGAATCTTCTAAATATTCTATAAGTTCTGCTATTTTCATATCCTTTAGGAAAATGTTTAAACAGATCGCATGTGCAGAAATAAACCAAAGATGTCCCCATCTCCAACAATGAAAAGCTTAAGTGTCACCAACCTCCTGTCTTGGTCCCTACCCATGTTCCTGTGCACCTGTACCTGACGCACCCACTGGGTTTACCCCTCTCCCTGCTTAAAAGCCAGCCTGGAGAGGGTCCCAGGGGCCACAGCTGGATAAGGTTAGCAACAGGGTTTCACCGCCCTCACATCCCATTCCCTGAACTCAGCCAGGCCACACCAGCCTTGTAGTTTTTCAACAGGGACCACAGATCAGGCTGGGGATCTTGCCACTCTTCTACATGACCAACTTGGGCTGCTTTTCCATTTATTTAGGTTCTCATTCACTTCAACAGTTTCTATTTTCAAAGTGTTAAGCTTGCACTCTTTTGTTTATTCTTAAGAATTTGATTCTTGCAATTTTTGAAAATGACCTACCTGAAGGCTTTCACTTCAGGCTGGGATGCTTTTCCTAAAAATTTTGCCAGGCTTCTCTTTTACAACACAGGCATCCGCTCAGCTCCTAGGAGCAGACCTTCCCAACTACCCACCCAGTCTCTCAGTGCCTCTCCATTTCCTCCACTCTGGCTATGATCAGTCAAGAGAAGTTCTTCCAACCTGTGTGCTGTCTGTGACCCTCATTGTGAGCTCCACAACAGCAGAGGTATTTTTTTGTCTTTCTTGTTCAGTGCTACAGCCCCAGCCCCTAGAATAGAAGCTGGCACACATGAGCAGGTGTGGTGTGAGCATACAACCAACATTAACAAAAAGAAATTTTTAAAAACAAGTCTGTCCCAACTTTTAAATTCTAGCACAAAAAGATGCATGAGCAGCCCCTAAGAACTAGCAGCCACCAGCCAGCTGTGTGCGCCTTTGTCTTTTACAAAAGCCCTCTGGGGTGGAAAACAGCATTTCTTCCCTCTCCTAGGAGGCAAGCTCAGTCCTTACACTGGCAAGCAGCACTCCCAGTGTACCATTACTGCACTGTTACAGTGTGATCACTGACACTGTATCTGAGAATTGGGGAAAAATGACACATCGTATTTATCTTGTGCTTTTTCATTCACTCACCATTCTGTTCTTGAGATGTTTCTCCTGGAGTCCATGTTATCTAGTCCAGGGGGAATCTACCGCTAGACATGCAACTGCTCTACAGGTGAGTTACACTGAGGAGTCCCACTAGCAGGGCTCTTCTTCAACCTGACCTGACTCCGTCAGACTGCTCAGCAAGGAGGTTCCCCTACCCACCTCCATAAGGGACCCTGCTCAATTTCCCAGCGCTAGAGCCAACACTCCAACTTCTAATGTATTCTGATATGGGGCAACAAGACAGACATAAAATGGTACCTGTTATTTTAAATTGCATCTCCCTGGAATCCAGTATCTTTTCACTTTCTATCAGTCATTCATGTTTATTCAAAAGTAAACTGCCTGGCCAGGTAATCCTAGCTGTAATCCCCCCTACTCAGGAGGCTGAGGCAGGAGGATCACAAGTTCCAGGCCAGCGTTGGCAACTTAGTGAAAGCCCATTTCAAAATAAAAAAATATAAAAGGCTGAGGAAGCATCTCAGTGGATGAGCACTTGGCTTGCATGCATGAGGCCCTCGGCTCAACCCTCAGCATGTCAAAAAAAGAGAGAGAGAGGGCCAGGGATTTAGCTCAGTGGTTTTGCCGCCTGCTGCACAAGCACAAGGGTCCAAGTTCAATCCCCAGTACCAAAAAAAAAAAAAAGAGAGAGAGAATTCCCTGAGTCCCTTGGTCATTAACTGCTAGGGTGTTATTCTAATTCTTATTAATGTATACAAGTTCTTTTTATTAGATTTTGATTTTTATTAGCTTTTGACCATTTTAGTCCGTGGATTTTCTTTAATATGTTTTATGGCGTGTCTTACCCTAGGAAAAGTTCTTGATATTTTTAACAGCTTTACTGAGATATATTTCACATAACACACAATTCAGCCACACATAATATGCACTTCAATGATTTTTACTATATTCACAGATCTGAACTACAATCACCACACATGAACAGATTTTTTTTTTTTTGGTACTGGAGATCAAACTCAGGACCTTGCACTTGCAAGGCAGGTGCGGTGCCACTGAGCTAAATCCCCAACCCGAACAGATTTTAATTTCTGAACCTTTTCATCACCTCATGAGGAAACAGCAGCTGTCCATTTCTCCTGGCTCTAATCCAACCACTACCAGCACTGGTACTTCATTCCTTCCTATTGCCAAAAAATACTCCATTGTACAGAATATGTTATTTATCCATTCAGCAGCTGATAAAACACTGGATTCCTACTTGCTCTCGTGAATAACCACGCCTAGCTTCTACATTTACTCTTTAGAGGAATTAGTAGACTGCTTCCCAAAGTGGCTGTACCACCCTGCTCTCCTATCAGCAGGGTGTGCTTCAATTTCCCCACAACCTTGCCAACAATTGTTAAGATCTGGTTTTTGGTTTGTTCTGAGACAGGATCTATGTATTCCATCCTGGCCTCAAGCTCCTGGCGATCCACCTCCTGCCTCTGCCTCCCAAGCACTAGGATTATAAAGTGTGCACTACGACGCCCAGCCCATGATCTGTTCTTTATTGTAACAATCATAGCAGGCATGAGGTAGCATCTCATTGTATTGACTTGCATTTCCTTGATTACTAGATGGTCCGGATTTTAAAATGTATTTCCTTATATAACTATATATGTGTGAATTATTTGGGAACACCTTCCCTATTATTACAGTTCATAATTTTTTCATTACTTTCTGCAAGTTTTAAAGCTTTACTCTTTACTTACGGTCTCTCATCTACTTGTAGTTGCTTTGGGAAGGCTAGAACCTGGTTTCTGTTGCATTTGTTCTATCCGAGTGGCCAAGGTCCAATGCCCTTTATTGACCTACGCATCTTCTTCCCCTGGACGGGTGACGCCGCCTCTCCCGCAGCAAGCTGCCTCATGCACACTGGTCTCTTTCCAGGCCGTCTCTTCCGATCCATGGCTGTGTCTGCCTCTCCCCCACCTCAGAACCGCACAATTTTAAACCTTGCTATAGACTACAAGAAATCTACCATTTTATTACTATTCAAAACTGTCTTGGCTATTGATCCTCTCTTATGAATTTTAGGTTCCAATTACGAAGTTCCTACAGCTTGCTGAGATCTAAATGGGAAGCAGACACTAATTTAAGAAATTAATGGTAACCTTACAACATTGTGTTTGCTAAACTGTGAATGTGCCACCTCTGTGCACTTACTTGGTCTACTTTTCTTTTTCAATCATTTTTAAAGCTTTCTCTAAAGGGGCTGCAACTAGCTCAGCATCAAAGCGTACGCTTACCATGCCTGAGGTCCTGGGTTCCATCCCCAACACCATAAAAAAGGAGCAAAAGCTTTTTCTAGAAAGGCCTCCATATACCTTATTAGGTAAATTCAAAGACATACTAATTCTTGCAGCTATCAGTGATTTCTATGAGTTAACAGAAATTATATTTCCAATTGATTTTATACAAACACAAAAGACTTTGACATAGTGATCTTAACTCTATTCACTTTGCTGAAATATTTTAAAATATAGCCTGTTTCTGGCTTCAACTGGATTTTCTGTGTAGACAATCATAATGTTTACAATTAGCTGCATTTCTTCCTTTCCAACCCTTATGTCATTTTTTTTCTACTTCTGACTACAACCTTCAAGGAAATAATGAACAGAAGTGGCAAGAACACAACATCATGGCTCATTCTTGACTTTACAGGAAACGCTCTTAAGCTTCACTGTTAAATATAGTGTATGTCACAGGTTTCTGATGGAAATTCTCAGGAGGTGCAAGACTTACTCCTATCCCAAGTCTGCAAAGAGATTTCCATTATGAATGCTACTTATCTACAGGGCAGAAGAGCTGGGGATTGAACCTAGGGCCTCTGCTTGCTGAGTACCTGCTCTACCACTGGGCTACAGCCCTCGACAGCTATGACATTTTAATGGATGCTTTATCTGCAGCCTCTGAGTGATCAGTTTTTCTCCTTGAATCTGTTAATTTAAACTGTCAGATTATTTTCATGTTGACTCACACTTATACTCTGGATAATTCTCACATGATCACATTTTCTTGTTTTGTGCTGGGGACTGAAGCCAGGGCCTCACACATGCTAAGCACATGCTCCACCATAGGAGTACATCTCTAGCCTCAATCACGATTTATAAAACCGACACTTATGTTTGCCACATTTTATTTTGAATGCTCACATCTACTCATATGAGATAAAATTATAAGCCACCTATGATATTCTCCACAACTGTGTATACTCTTGATATATAAAAATTAATTGAGTTTGTTCACTC